TGTTATTAATTTATTCGATACAATCTGTTCCGAATACTAATGAATCATCTCAGGGAATATATCTTCTGCTCTCATAATCAGAAAACCTGGTTGGGGGGAAGAAGCGTTATTCTATATTCAAATTCAATGCACCGAGAATTAAATATGCTAAAGAATTAAAATATTTAGGTTTAATATAAGATGAACAACTCAGTTGGTTACCACTCATAGGAAATTAGAAACTTAGAGGAATTTTTGCGTATCATATTAAAAGATTTCAGAGTATAAAACTGTGGTTTGAACCTATATATAAGAAATCTGATGTGTACACCACATGACTTTCTTGTACGGAATATTAAATTACACGCATTTTTTCCTGCATTTCATTTAAACTTATTGGATTGACTTAAATCTACTTCGCCGACAGCGCATAAACCACAATATAATAATTACATAACGGAAACTAAGTTAACTGTTATATAATCCAATAATTATAACAGTTAACTTATATATTTCGTTCATATTATAACTCATAATGCACAAAATTTATATCATTTAAAGAACAGAATTATCTAATTGTTGCCACATGTTCTATTCAAATACTATAATGAAGCTAAAATGATGTATAAAAGAAATTAAGCAAACAAAACAAAAAAGAAACAGTTTTTCACAGAGGATTGAGTATTTCTCATTGAATTAATTCCGTTCTCACTTCGCGAGAAGGCAAAAATACATAAAAACTCAAAATATCTATATTAAAAATTACGAAGTAAATCTTAAACACTTATATATTTTTTGCTTTAAAATTGTACAATTTACAAACATATAAGAGTAAAGAAACTGAGATCACTGAGCCGGGTAACAGAGTGGATATATATATAAATATATTTATATACGTTTGGTGCGGCCGATTGCAACCAAAATACGAGGTGCACATCTACATGTTATAGCAGTCCTTAATACAAAATTTCAACGTTCTGAGGCTACTCGTTTGAGTTATGCCAGACACGTACGTACAGACACCACGAAAAATTCTCTTCAGAATTAATTTTAAAGCAGTTTTATAATTTTTTTGAAGGAAAAGAGTATTTTATTCTGTCCTTACGTACAGATATCACGCAAAAACATCGTTAAATTGCATTCGATAGCGGTCAAAATATATATTTTCGTTGAAATATGCTGCCTGAAGCTTTTTGCGATTACAATACTTCCTTTTTACTTCGTACAAGGAAGTAAAAAGCAATTGTATAGTACTAGTGAACTGTTTACAAACTATTGCTTAGGCAATTCTGTGCAATTCCGATAAAAATCCGCAATTAATTACAAATATCACTACCATTACATTAGCTCCTAGATAGTGTGCCGATTACATTTGCCCTTAGGTAACAGCATTCAGATGCCATTACCGTATTACTTTGCTGCATAATAGATGTGCATTCAGATTATTTCCGTTTGAATGTAACAGCAGCTGCAGCATTATCAGGACTAACTGCACATATCTCAAAGGCAAGTAAACTATGCAGAAGGAATATTTAATCTACTGTATTATGAAAGTGCATGCAACTCAGCTTATAACGTTCGTAACGATCGTAAATAATTGTCCTTTTTGATAATTTTTGTAATTAAGAGTAAACATATTGTGTATTCCTGCGTATAACGGGCACTGGTGTATAACACATACTTATAAATTTAAGCTACATTTCGTTTTAATTTTTAGGTATATTCGACGTACAGAGGCTGTTCGCACATTTTTTAGACGATTTTGGTAAGCGGTAATAAAAAATCGTTTGCTACAAAAGAAGTAATTGCAATTGTACTATATTTTTAAAAGTCAAAATTATATCGTCTGTGGCTTGAAAGTTTTGTTTTTATTCAAAATGGCGAATTTAAAAAAGCAGTGGTTCGAAGGCTACATTTACACTCTTTCCGAAGAGAAATATGCATACTCCGTTATCCAAAAACGATTTGAGAGTCATGGTTTTGTGAAATCTAAAGCGTCTATAGGTAATATCATCAACACGAAAGGGAAAAAAAAAAACTTCCAATTGGAGCCTCAAGTGGGGCAAAAATTCCAAACAAGTATCCAAGGAAAAAACGGACATCTTCGACTATTGCAAAGGTACGTTGTTTAATGTTAAAAGAAAATCCTCCTAGTCAAAGGACAGTTGCAAAATCTTTAAAATGCTCGGTTTCCACTGTAAACAAAATGATAAACGTTGATTTAAATCTTAAGAAAGCGAAAAAACGCAGTGTGCATCGTCTTCTTCCAAAGCATCGCTCAACGCAGGACACGCGGCAGAATTCTATATGAGAAACACTTATCCAAAGAAAAATGAAAAACAATTGTCACAATAGATGAAGCACGGGTGTATTTAAAGGATTGTAACAAAAAAAAAAAAAAAAAAAAAAAAAAAAAAAAAAAAAAAAAGAGCCATTTATTATCATATAAGGGGAGAAAAAAATTTAAGTACATGGTTCAAAGAATCGAAAGAAAGTTTTTCTAAGGGATTCATGATTGTTGCTGTTTCTTCTTATAATGGCAAGTTAAAAATAAAGAGAGTGCAAAAAAATGTCAAGATTAACTCCAAATACTATCAGAAACATATTTTATTGCCAATTTTTCTGAATGAAATACCATCGCTTTACCCACAGTGCCATCAATCTGTAAATTTCCTAAAAGAAATGGAACAAAAAATTAGTATCAAGGCCATACTCTTCACTGATATCCCTTCTAAATCTCCCGATGTGTCACCTATGGATTTTTGTGCTTTCGGACTTTTAAAAACTGCATTATCCAAATGTTGTCCCGAAACCCTAACAGGACTCTGGAAAGCTGTTCGGGAGGAATGGGATAGAATATCTCTTCTGCCACTTCAAAAGGCATTATTATCCTGGAAATTGCTGTGTCGAAAGATAGCTCAGAATAAGGGATGTCAAATAGAACATTTAAAACACAAGAATTTTATGTAATTTAGTCTTGTGAATACAATATACATCGTCTAAAAAATGTGTGAACGGCCTCTGTATAATGCGTACCGTTTTCTTTATGAAGAAACCTGAAAGATACATATGTAATGCTCTTATCTTCTGAAGTTATTCATTCGAAGATTTTTTCCATACTGTCGAACAATGGTACTATACTGAATTGATAAGAGAAACAATATATGTGTAGGGGGAATACTTGAGGGAGTAAATAATTTTGCAAAGAGTGCGGATTAAATTCAATGTGGGTGTGCGCAAGAATGTTGTTTTAGGGTTTCTAGAAAGGGTGGACACAATCTGGGATAAGTATGCATTTTCAAGTCAAATGAATTCGCGGATCAGGAGCCAGATGTTTCTTCTTAACGAATGAAAGCACATTAATTAAAATGACTTACGTAAAGGGAATTACCTGATAATGCAAAATTGTCCGATAAAGAACATTTTTAAGTTCATAAGGTTCATAAGATTAAGTTGATTTCTTTTATATAAACGTTCATAAGGTTAAGTTGTTTTCTTTTATATAAACAGCATTTAGGTACATGTAGAAATCTAATTTCTGTAAACTCTTTTTTCCCTTATTTTTAAAGGTATAATTTTTATATCTGGCATATAACGCGCCCATGAATTTCGATTATTATTATTATTATTATTATTTTTTGTATTAAAAGTGTGCATTACGGTAAACTAAACATTCATCACATCGCCTTGTGCCTGCACCGATGGCTCTATAATTAACTATAACGTGGGATGCGCATTTATTCTTGGGATTGAGTTAAACATTAATGGAAGAAACTGTTAATAAAATTAGTATATTCCAAGCTATTATTAAAGTATTAGCTATAATTAAAGCAATTGGCTGTAGTGTAAACAATAATATTATTCATTCAAATATCTACACTGATATTATGATAGTATTTTCTGCAGTTTCAAATTGTTCACAGAAATCACCATTTCACAAACTTCAGTATTTATTACAAAACAGCCAAAGGATTCGTGCCAAAATTCGTTGGTTTAAAGCTTATGGTAATGTAGTTGGTAGTAGTGACTGATGAACACTGATACGCAGTGGCATGGACCTCCGACCTAAGGTTCTACACCAATCAGAGTTATATGTCCATGCGATGGAAAAGAATCTACAATCCACCGCCAGCGGCATTCACTGAATCAATGATAGTAATATTACAATGCTAAATTGACAGTGTAATCTTATACAATAATTGTTACATAATAATCCGTATGAAAATACATATACGATCAATTAATAATTACATTGTCATGGATAGGATCTATGTTGTGGAGAGTGGAACTTATATATTAACCAGTTTTTAAACCTAAGTCTTTTTCAATACATCATAACTTCATGTTCTTATCAGTTACACACCTAATGATGTGTGTCCGTATTATTTTTGCAGTTATCCACAGAGTAAGCAAGTCACATCAGTTCAGGCAATTGATAGTTCCATAGCCCAAAGTATATGATGTTGTGTAGGCTATAGGCTATGTACTTTCACTTGTTAAATTCATCGTTCAAGTAAATACTACTTGTCCAACTTTGATACATCATAACTTCGTGTCCTTAACAGTTAGCACACCTCATTATGTGCGTCCATAGCAATTTGCACACTGTGTCGCAATTATCCACAAGACAAACATGAAATTGCAATTGGGAATTTCATTGTAATATGTACACTATTTTACTATTATCCACAGAAGCAAATGTTTTGTAAATAATGACTTGGCTCCCAGATGATAAAAAAAAGGAAACTAATTCTTAAATTTTTCAATACAATTCTAAATTGTGCGAAACTACAGATTTGTTAAACAGTTCCAGTCAATACAAATTGACCGGTATTCCAACAATATAAAGCAACATATTCTAAAATAAAACGTAAATAATGGAAAACAGGAACTAATTCCCAATTAAAATAGACATAAATACATAATTATTCAGCACATATTATATACCAATCATCATACCATAAAATACACATGTTTCAAATGCTGCAACTAATTTTTTTTTGTTACAGTTAGAATATTACCGATGAACACTGTAGTGTAGAATTTACTCCCATTCCTTGGCCTAGATAAGTGCTTAATTTCTAAAACCATTTGTGCCGGAGCCCTATAGAAGGCCACAAAGAAAGAATAAATAAATAAATAAATAAAATAACTAATAATTAAAGTATTTAAATGTTTAAATTAAACTTAAAATGCGAATAAAATGTAATAAGTTATTAAATTAATGATAAATAGTTAAATAATAAAATAAAATATCGAACATAATCTTATTTAGGGTTAAGGCGGGGATTACAGTTTCACTCAAAAATTAATAAATAGCTCATATAGACGCTGGCGTATTTCAGTCTGGAATACAATGTATAATGCAACTTTCAACGGATGACAGAAATGTATAATATGATAGTATATAGACAGATGATAGAACAAGGAATGATAGAAAAGAGTCTTCCTTTTCTAACATACCAATGAAAAAAAAACTGTTGAAGCATCGTTAAATACAGAGAATACTTACTATGAGAGTATAGACGGAAATTTTAAGGGAGAGGTTTAGCGCGTAAAACAAAGAGAGAATTAAACACTGTCTGATCGCGATCTTCTATCGATATAATTTTAGCTCTCAAGCAGAATGTGACGAGGAAAAAAACAACTTACCCTAAATCCGACCCTATAACAACGAAAGAAACGTAAGGATTTATACAAGTGACAATTTTCTTTCCCCATAATTTCTTACACCGTTCCAAAAAGCCTGTGTTGCTTTGGGAGTTACTAGTGTTGTACGCGCACGACAGGGTAATCACGTTTAGTACTTTCGAGGGGAAAACTTTACACATTCCCACAAATTCATTGTAGTTCCTGCAGAATAAGCCTTAGACATGTAGGGCGGAGAGTGTCCGCCGAAAACATCTCGGCAAAAACATCCTAGAAGAAAACGTCGCGGAGAAAACAACGCAAGGCGAAAACGTCGTGGCACAAAACATCGTGAGAGAAAATAAAAAATAAAGAAAAAACATAGCAGTTCTAAAATATCGTGGTACAAAATATTATCGTCGAAAATAAAGCGGTTCTAAAACTCGTCGTCGAAAATATTGTGGTAAAAAATAAAGTACCTCTAGAAATCATCGCATGACGATAACATCGCAGACATGCGTTTTTCAGGCTTTAATAATTGTGAAAGGATATTCGCATAATAATTTGTGAGCTCAAGATGGAAAGAACGATAATTTTTACCTTCAAATTTTTTATTAACCAATAAATATTTGCTGAAAATGTAAAATGGAAACTTGAGCATAGAAAATTAATGCAACTAATATCACTTAATAGAATTTTAAATTGACATAGTTAACTAACAAAGTCATTATAAATTATTTTTCTATAAAGTTTTACTGGTAATTTTTTCATGAAAAGTATAATCTAAAAAAGATTAGAAAAAGGAAAGATAAGTAACTACATGCCCTTATCTATAAAAAAATTGCTAAATTAATTACGAGATTATTTTCTTCACATTTGTTAATCTGATACTCTTATAATGAAAATTATTTCTTTTTTGCTTAAATTTTTTGTTTCGTTTTTATTAGTTAATAAAAAATATGAAAGTAAAAATGATCTTTCTTTTCATCTTGCGTTCACAAATCCTCATGAGAATATCCATTTATAAATATTAAAGACTGACAAACGCATGTCTGCGATGTTATCGTCATGCGATGATTTGTAGGTACTTTATTTTTTACCACGATGTTTTAGACGACGAGGTTTTTAAACTGCGAAGTTTTTAAACCGCTTTATTTTCGAATACGATATTTTGAACAACGATGTTTTAGAACTGCGATGTTTTCTCTTTGCTTTATTTTCTCCCACGGTGCTCTGTGCCACGACATTTTTGCTTTGCGTTGTTTTGTCCGCGAAGTTTTCGTCCGCGATGTTTTTGCCGCGATATTTTCAGCTGTAACCTAGGCGGAGAGCTTTTCTTTCCTTAAAAGTCTAAACCTCCGTCAAAGGCTTTGTTTCTCAGGAAAAGACAGGTACGCATTTAGAAGTTAGAATTGAGTTTATTTGTTATTAAATTATTTTTTTTTCTTCTGAAACTGTGCTTTATTTACATAAGAGAAGCACCGGGGCGCTTTTATCTAAGACCACTGGCTAGAATTACGACTTACTTCAAAAACTGAGAAATACCGGAGCTCGACTCTAGTGGGCTCCGGCTCAATTTAAGCTCTAGTCTAGATAATATCTTAAAAATATCTCTTGATAATCTCACTATAACAATGGCAAGAAGAGCGGAATATTCGTGGACCCTTTAATAACTAGCAAAACTTGATTTAAAATCGTACCTCAGTTATCAAGATACCGAACAAGATATGGTCCCTTCGTAATGTTTTAATATGAACAGGGATTTGCCAATATTGATCATTGTCGGGACGTTTTATAATGTAATGTCTCTAATGAAACAATATTATATAATTTTCTGCAATGCCATTTCTTTCAGAAGATTATTTATTACACAAAGGTAATTAATTCTTCTTAAAACTTGCGAAGTTACGAATCTAATTTTTGCACTGGAACAAGACATTTATCAACTTATTACTTCCTTGTACGAAGTAAAAAGGAAGTATTGTAATCGCGAAAAGTTTCAGGCAGCATATTTCAACGAAAATATCCATTTCGACCGCTATCGAATGCAAATTAAAGATGTTTTTGCATGATATCTGTACGTAAGGACAGAATAAAATACTCTTTTCCTTCAAAAAAATTATAAAACTGCTTTAAAATTAATTCTGAAGAGAATTTTTCGTGGCGTCTGTACGTACGTATCTCGCATAACTCAAAAAGGAGTAGCCGCGGAACGTTGAAATTTTGTATTAAGGACTGCTATAACATGTAGATGTGCACCTCGTATTTTGGTTGCAATCGGCCGCACCAAACTTATATAAATATATTTATATATATATCCACTCTGTTACCCGGCTCAGTGATCTCAGTTTCTTTACTCTTATATGTTTGTAAATTGTACATTTTTTGCTTTAAAAATGATTGAATTATGTGTTTTTATCTTCCGGTTAAGGATTTTGTGCCTTTAGTAAATCTGTGTGCAATATTTTTAGAATTATCAACAATTTTAAATTTTTTTATGGCGGCCATTGATGTTTACATTTGAAACAGGAGACTAGTGGATTTGTTGGAAGTCTAGAGAAACTTAGCTTCGCAACAACAAAGATAACGCATTCATTTATTGTTGTCAATTAAATCATGCTTAATTCTTTCTGGAACTTTTTCGAAGAAATAAGTGTTTAAGATTTACTTCGTAATTTTTAATATAGATATTTTGAGTTTTTATGTATTTTTGCCTTCTCGCGAAGTGAGGACTGAATTAATTCAATGAGAAATACTCAATCCTCTGTGAAAAACTGTTTCTTTTTTGTTTTGTTTGCTTAATTTCTTTTATACATCATTCTAGCTTCATTATAGTATTTGAATAGAACATGTGGCAACGATTAGATAATTCTGTTCTTTAAATGATATAAATTTTGTGCATTATGAGTTATAATATGAACGAAATATATAAGTTAACTGTAATATAATTATTGAATTATATAACAGTTAACTTAGTTTCCGTTACATAATTATTATATAAGTTTAAATGAAATGCAAGAAAAAATGCGTATAATTTAATATTCCGTACAAGGAAGTTCTGTGGTGTTCACATCAGATTTTGTAAAAATATGGATATCATAGTGGTATACTTACCTAAATTTCATAATTTTATTTATAAGTCTACACTCAGTTTTCTTTTACGGGCATTAAAGGCTTACTATTAAGATATTATGACATTTGTGTGATGTTCGATTTTATGTATATTGAGCGAACTTTATGAAATCTGTGAACTGTGGATTTTATTTTCAATGTTACTATATTTATTTTATTTAAACTTTTTTATTCCTTATTCATGTAGATGTCTTTCAAAATTAAACTCATTTAAATTATGTATTTAACTATGAAAAATATAAAAAAATTATTATTGTGGTAAAAGTATTAATTTAATGATGGATATGGCATAATAACGGTTAACCATTGATAAAGACAAGGTGCCCACATTCATTCATTGCGAACTGAAATGAATATGGTGCAATACTAAATTAGACAAAGAATATCAGGTTTTTTTAGAATGTTGATTTAAACAAGTGGCTGTGCTTCGCTTATAAATATTATTTAAATATACTAATTTATCATAGACAGTTGTTTACTGGCTTCGATGACCATTTGTATTTTCAATGCCGATAAAAGATATTTCATACCTCATTTTTAAAATTTAGAATTATAGAGATACATATTCAAGATTTAAAATTTGTATATTTTAGGAGGCCATAACTTCTCTTTGATTGTCTAAGTGTGCATATTAAATTTCAAATATTTCAGATAAGAATTTAATTTTTTTAGTTTCAGCTAGGATTGTTAGGATTGTCCAAGTTAAATTAAATCTTTGTGTTGTTGTATGTGTTGTGTAATCTTTGTGTTGTTGTATCTAACTTGTCCGACAATAAAATCAGAACAAGCCCATGAAATTCCTCGTTTCAGGAAGTGCCAGACTGCGCCAGTCTTTCGCGAGAGCCTTGGTGACTGTATGACATTGCTCATTTCCGCTCCCAATTTTGATGAAGAGCACCTGGGGAGGATGGGTCAGAGGGTTTCTAGTCCTCTTCTCCTACCAGAAACCTCTCGAGAGGACTTTTGGCTCTCTTAGAGTGCCTTCATGCCGCACAGACACTATACATTTCCAAACATCCATGCCTCCTCCGGGATTCGAACCCGGGCCCTTCGGGACGGCAGTCAGTGTCTCTAACTACTGTTTCGATTGGGTGGTTTAAATCTTTGTAATTTTGATTTATCGAGAAAGAGAGAAAACTCAAATAAATTTAATAACAGACTGCGAATTTTGATATGTTTGTGCTTAACACCATAGTTTTAAACGCTTGAACTGAATTAAAAAGAAAGAGATATTAAATGAACTTAACTAAAATAACTCTGAATAAAAAAAGTTGCTAATCGCAACAAATTTAAATGTGGACTGGGAGCTAAAAGTTTGATATGCGTTTAGTTTGACATTAGCTA